ACGCCTGCGGCAATGACGACGATGAGTGCAGCTACAAGGTGGCTGCGGAGGCGTTCTTTGAGGTGAACCAGGGCAGCATCTCTCGCGCGGAGTTGGCCTGCGCCCTGAGGGCGAGTATCGTGAACGGGCCCTCCAAGACCACGCGGACGCCACTCATCGTGGGCCCGACCAACACAGGTAAGTCCACTTTGCTCATGCCATTTGACAAGCTGTTCGGGCAGTCGAACGTGCTCCACAAGCCGGCGCTGGGGTCCAAGTTCGCGTTGCGCAACATTACCAAGGGGAACATGCGGTTCATCTTCTGGGATGATTATCGCCCAGTGGAGTACGCCCAGAAGACCGTGGAGGTGGCGACCTTCCTGAGCCTCTTCTCGGGCCACCCGTTCGAGGTCCAGGTGTCGCAGAGCTTCAACGACGGCAACCCCGACGCGCAGTGGAACAGGGGCGCCGCCATGACGGCCAAGGAGGCGGGGCTCTGGGAGCCGAAAGGCGCCGTGTCGGCCGAAGACGTCCGCCACATGCAGAGTCGCGTGCAGGTCTTCCCCGCCAGGGTGCTGCCCAAGACTACCATGAGGGACGCGTGCCCCTGTCCTGGCTGCATGCGCCGTTGGATCCGGGAGGCTGCGGCGCAAGCAGACATTGACGAGCTTGTCCGCCTCGCGCCCGCTGCGCTCCGCTCTTCGCCGGCCGCGCTTCCCTTGGCCGACGGCGCCGGGGCGCCCTCGGGGGCCGCGACCGCGGCGCAGGCGGCAGCGGCCATCAACGTGAACGGCTTGGACGAGTTGGCGGTCAAGGCGGCGTTGCCTCCTGAGGCCGCGAGGGCGTTGCGCGTCGAGCTTGTGGAGCTCGGTGCTGTCGGCGTGGGGGGGCTCGCAGAGGACGACTGGCGCGGCCTCCGTGCCTGGGGGGCGCTGAGGCACTTCGAGCAGCGCCGTCTGCTGAAGTCCTTGGAGATGTAGACGGTCGGGCCCCGTCTGCCGCCCGTGGCGCATGGGCAGAGTGCGCAAAGCGCATGTTTGAAGAGCGCGTGTGGCGCACGCCAGTGCGCCACGCGCCATGTAATTCGGTGCATCGTTGAGTCGTGCAGGCTGCGCTGCACGGGGCTGCTCTAGCAGACGCATGGGCCGCCCGCCTGGCGAGGTGGCCTTCCAAATATCCGACCGCGGCAGGCGCGGGGAGCGCAGTTCCGCCTGTTGACCTAGATCACTTGAGAACATCACAGTTCATTCCCTCTTCATCTGGGCCACTCATGCTGTTATTCTCTATCATTTGTTCCTCCTTTCTTCCTCCTCCGCGCCTCCTCGCGCTCCCCCTCCCCCCCGTGACGTATCCCTCGTCGTTGCCCCCGCTGCTGCCCGCATTCCTCCAGAACGACCTCGTGCCCTCATGCCCGTCCTGCCCGTTCCTCGTTGCACTGGCGCGTGAAACATCAGAGCGAGGGGGCCCGAACGGTCATTCACTGCCCCTTGGCGCGTGGCTGAAATATCGGTCCGCGGCGCGGATTCTCGCTCGTTGTTGTCGTCGCCCCCTCCGCGACCCGCCCCGCGACCCACCCGGGGCAAGACGGCGCTTTCTTTTGTTGCCGTCGTCCTCCCCGCGCCCCGCCACGCGACCCGCCCGCAGCAAGGCGGCGCGAACGCAAACTGCGGCGCCTCGACGACCGCGTCGGCCGCGCCCGCCCCCCCCCCCCCCACTCTCATCCGCAATTGCGGGGTGCTGCGGTATGCGTCCTCGTCGTCGTCATTCCTCCTGTTTCGTCGTCATCCGCTTTGTAATCCTATCGCTTTTAAGCGCCCACGATGCGTGGGTGATGGTGCTGATGATGGCGATGGCGACGACAAATCGCTCGACGTGTCTTCGCGAAAAGTTGATATGCTGGGCCCCTAGCGGGCCCCAACGCATTGATGGGCATGGCGGTTCGAACGCAGCACGTCAATTGGGACATCCTCGCAAACATCGGGCACGTGATCTTGTGTGCGAGCTTCAAAACGAAAGTGTCGCTCGGGGCTTCCTCCGCACCATTATTGCGAAGGCCCTGCGGCCGGTGCCGCCGGCCCTGAAGGGCGACAACGACGACGACAACGACGACGACGACGGCGACGGCGACGGCGACGACGGCGATAGCTGATGGCCCTGCCACAGGCTCTGAACATGGGACGGGGGGGAAGGAGGAGGACGAGGGCGAGGGGGGGGAAAAGGAGAAGGAGAACGAGGGGGAGGAGGAGGAGGAGGAGGAGGAGGAGGAGGAGGAGGAGGAGGAGGAGGAGGAGGAGGAGGAGGGAGGAGGGGGGAGGGAGGGGGGGGGAGGGGGGGAGGAGGAGGAGGAGGAGGAGGAGGAAGAGGGAGGAGAAGGAGGAGTTGAGACGGGGGAGGTGGAGGCGGAGGAGGTCGAGGAGGAGGAAGAAGAGGAGGCGGAGGGCGGAGGAAGAGGAGGAGGAGGAGGAGGAGGAGGAGGGAGGAGGAGGTGGTGGATGAGGAGGAGGACGACGATGAGGAGGAGGACGAGGAGGAGGAGGAGGAGGGCGGAGGAAAAGGGGGAGGAGGAGGAGGTGGACACGGAGGAGATGGAGACGGAGGAGGGCGGAGGAAGAGGAGAAGGACGATGAAGAGGATGGCGGAGGAGGAGGTGGGAGGAGGGGGGGATGAGGAGGGAGAGGAGGGGATGGAGGGAGGAAGGACAGTCGATGAAGAAAGGAGAGAGCTGAGATCAGGATGGATGGAGGGTGGGAGGATGGATCCTTGCGCCTCGATCGTCCACCTTGGATCCTCGATCCTCGATCTTCCATCGTCGAGCTTCGATCGTCGATCCAAGATCGTCGACCTTGGATCCTTGGTCTTCGATCTTCGATCCTCGGTCGTCGAGCCGGGGGTTCACGGGCGGGCTGCTGGGCTCGCAAGCCATTGCGATGTTCGTAGGATCAGGAGGAGCAATGAGGAGGATCAGGAGGCGGGAGGAAGAGGAGGAGAAGCATGCAGGATGACGACGACGGGAATAAAGATGAATGGATCGTGGCCTCGACCCTCGATCGTCGATCAAAGATCGTTAACCTTGGATCGTCGATATTCGATCTTCGATCGTCGATCCTCGTTCTTCGATCGCCGAGCTGGAGAAAGAGCAAGAGGATGGAGAGGAGGAGGAGCGCCAGCGGCAGCAGCAAACACAACAGGAGGAGGGGGGGGATGACGACGAACAGGAGGAGGATGAAGAGAGGATCAGAGGTATGGGAGGGGCGGGGCAATGGAAATGGACAGTGGGAAGGGGAGGGGGAGGAGGAGGAAACGGAGGAGGAAAAGGAAAAGGAGGAGGAGGAGGAGGAGGAGGAGGAGGAGGAGGCGCACTGCTGCGTTTCAGGAGCGGTGTTAACTGGCAATGTGGTCCCACAGGCGGCTGGGTGCTCACAGTCACGGTGGTGCTCTGGCGCTGATCGGCTCCAGCACTCCTGATTGCGTAATGCTGCTTGGCAGGAGTGGTGTAACTGGCAATGTGCTCCCTCATGAGTTACGAGAATTTATGGGCCAGCCATCAGGGCAGCAACAGCGGGCACGTCAGGCAGGAAGTCGGTCAATGAGGCAGCCAACAAGGGCGCGGGTCGCCGGTCGCGGCCTCGGGTCTCCAGCGCGGGTCGCGGGCTCTGGTCGCGCGCTCTGGTGGCGGACGCCGGTACCTCGGCCTGGCGGAGTCGAAGTTCCAGGAATGGCGCCGGGCGTGTTTCGGCCAGGACGTGCCGTGCGCCCTTGTGCAGGACCACGAGAAGTGCCTGTGGCAGGCGGACAATTTAGCTGCGATGGCGCGGGGCGGGGTGCACCGTGATTCAGGAGTTCCCGAAGTCGTCCCCCGACCTAAACGCGATCGAGGGCGCCTGGCACTTGCTGCGCCAGCGCCTGGAGCAGACGGAGCCCGACGAGATCGAGGGCCGCGCCGAGTTCCTGGCCCGCCTCCGCAGGAACGTCCGCTGGCTCAATGAGCACCAGGCTGAGGTCCTGCAGGAGGTGTGTTGCAACCAGAAAAAGCGCGCTGCAGATGTCCTTCAGTTGAACGGCGCGAAGACTAAGTGGTGAGCGCGGCGCACGCTGTTCACATGGGCTCTGCCACGAAACACTTGCGGCGCCAGCAGACAGAGTTTGTATAGCCTTGCCCACGCCCTGCCATTCATTGCCCGTCACCCATCATTATACTGGCATCGCTTTCAATGCATCATGCTCCGCCAGGAGCTGTTCGGGGAGATCGACGGCGCGCGTTGCCCCGTGGCCAGGGGAAGGGGCTCGCGGGGGAGCGGCGGCGGCGGTGGCGGGCGGCGTCTGCGCGCCGCCAGGGCGCGCCGGCTGCCGAGCTCCCGTCCGCCGACCAGGCGGCGAGCGGGGAGGCGCCCCCCCAGCCGCGCCGCCTGCTTCTCTCTGCGTAGCAGCGGATAGCAGCGGTCCAGCCGCCCCCGCCACTGCGCGCGTGCACGTAAAATCACAATTGCCCGCCATTACCCGCTCTATTACCCGCCCATTTTTTACTAATTACCCGCTTGGATTCATTAAAATAGAAAGATTTAGAATAATTACTTATTCTTTTATAATAATAATAATGGCGGGTAATTGGTGAATAATGAGCGGGTAATAGAGCGGGTAATGGGCGGGTAATGGCGGGCAATTATGATTTCACGCACGCGATGGCTGCCCTCCAAGGTCGCAGCCGTTCGCCCCCAACAGGTTCCCCGCTTCTCCCGCTGACGGCTCTCACTGGGAGCGCCAATGGCCGCCAACGCCGGGCCGTCACAGGTGCTGTCCCCCGCGGCTTTGACGGAGGCGGCGATGCAGGTGCTGCCCGAAACGGATGCGGCAAACACGACCCTCGACCAGTTCTGCAAGAGGCGTACGCGGCTGGAGACGCACACTTCCCGCCGCGCGTCGACTCTGCGCATTTTGCCCAGAGTCGACGCCCGGCGCGCGGGGGGGGCTGCGTCTCCGCGCCGCGCAGGTTGGCTCGTCATCTCGGGTTGCCCGAGACTGGCATGGATCGCTTTGCCGAGGACGTTTCCAGGGAGGTGCAGGCCGCGCTGGCGCAGCAGGGATCTCCGGCCCAGCGCATGAACCGTCTCACGGCGGACCTGGGGGGCCCCGCGCGCGATGCGAAGCGGGACGTCTACCTTGTGACGATATCCCGCGTTCTCCCGGACGCGCTCGACCAGACCGACCTGGTGGACGTCGAGGCGATGAGTCGCGAGGGCGTCGGGCGGGCGCTCCTGAGCGCCCTGAACGGGAATGGGGGCGGCGTTGTGAAGAAGATGGCGGTGTTCAAGGCTCTGGGGCGGGATCCTGCGCGGGCGGGCGAGGCCCCGACCGGCTGCGACATGCCTCGCTCGGCGCTGGGCCGCCTGCGCGAGCTCCGAGCGGGGCGCGTCGCCGGCCGGCGAGATCTCGCCCCGCCATGTGGGGCGCTCCCCACAGGAGACGCACGCGGATGGGTCGTCGCACTTCCATGCCGCAGTTTCTCTCTTCCAGAACAGGCGGAGGTTCCCCGTCGAGCGCGCCGTCCGCGAGCATGCGAAGATGGCTACCCACTGGTCTTGCAGCCATTCGCAGTGGTGGAGCGCGCTGCGATACTGTGCCATCCCCACGCTGAAGAAGCCCGTCGTGGACGGCAGCGCGTGGCCCTGGTCCCATGACGGTTTTCCCCCCCGATTGACTTCTTCGAGGAGTCCCAGCGCCTTTCAGGCGAAAAATTAAAAAGAGCGCCGCGAGGAGGTTAGAGAAGAGGTGCCGCGGGGGGCGCGCCACCGAAGAAGTTCAAGCAAACTCGACCTGACGGCAGTGATCCTGGACCAGGAGCTCAAGACTAAGGCCGCCGTCTTAGAGTGCATCCAGAGCCGCGGAACCGAGGCGATGCAGCGCTTCGTCCACAACCACCAGCGGCAGCTGGGCGAGCACATCGCCGAGGCCGCCGAGTGGGGGATCGCTCGGAAGGCCGCCGACTTGGAGCGCAAGTCCGACTGGGACATGGTCTGCGCAGCCGCCGATGACGCCTGCGGCAATGACGACGATGAGTGCAGCTACAAGGTGGCTGCGGAGGCGTTCTTTGAGGTGAACCAGGGCAACATCTCTCGCGCGGAGTTGGCCTGCGCCCTGAGGTCGATTATCGTGAACGGGCCCTCCAAGACCACGCGGACGCCACTCATCGTGGGCCCGACCAACACAGGTAAGTCCACTTTGCTCATGCCATTTGACAAGCTGTTCGGGCAGTCGAACGTGCTCCACAAACCGGCGCTGGGGTCCAAGTTCGCTTTGCGCAACATCACCAAGGGGAACATGCGGTTCATCTTCTGGGATGATTATCGCCCAGTGGAGTACGCCCAGAAGACCGTGGAAGTGGCGACCTTCCTGAGCCTCTTCACGGGCCACCCCTTCGAGGTCCAGGTGTCGCAGAGCTTCAACGACGGCAACCCCGACGCGCAGTGGAACAGGGGCGCCGCCATGACGGCCAAGGAGGCGGAGCTCTGGGAGCCGAAAGGCGCCGTGTCGGCCGAAGACGTCCGCCACATGCAGAGTCGCGTGCAGGTCTTCCCCGCCAGGGTGCTGCCCAGGACTGCCATGAGGGACGCGTGCCCCTGTCCTGGCTGCATGTGCCGTTGGATCCGGGAGGCTGCGGCGCAAGCGGACATTGACGACCTTGTCCGCCTCGCGCCCGCTGCGCTCCGCTCTTCGCCGGCCGTGCTTCCCTTGGCCGACGGCGCCAGGGCGCCCTCGGGGGCCGCGACCGCGGCGCAGGCGGCAGCGGCCATCACACGTGAACGTCTTGGGACGAGTTGGCGGTCAAGGGCGTTGCCTCCTGAGGTCGTGAGGGCGTTGCGCGTCGACTTTGTGGAGCTCGGTGCTGTGAGGCCTCCAGATGTCCACAGAGGACGACTGGCGCGGCCTCCGTGCCTGGGGGGCGCTGAGGCACTTCGAGCAGCGCCGTCTGCTGAAGTCCTTGGAGATGTAGACGGTCGGGCCCCGTCTGCCGCCCGTGGCGCATGGGCAGAGTACGCAAAGCGCATGTTTGAAGAGTGCGTGTGGCGCACGCCAGTGCGCCACGCGCCATGTAATTCGGTGCATCGTTGAGTCGTGCAGGCTGCGCTGCACGGGGCTGCTTTAGCAGACGCATGGGCCGCCTGCCTGGCGAGGTGGCCTTCCAAATATCCGACCATGGCAGGCGCGGGGAGCGCAGTTCCGCCTGTTGACCTAGATCACTTGAGAACATCACAGTTCATTCCCTCTTCATCTGGGCCACTCATGCTGTTATTCTCTATCATTTGTTCCTCCTTTCTTCCTCCTCCGCGCCTCCTCGCGTTCCCCCTCCCCCCCGTGACGTATCCCTCGTCGTTGCTCCCGCTGCTGCCCGCATTCCTCCAGAACGACCTCATGCCCTCATGCCCGTCCTGCCCGTTCCTCGCTGCACTGGCGCGTGAAACATCGGAGCGAGGGGGCCCGAACGGTCATTCACTGTCCCTTGGCGCGTGGCTGAAATATCGGTCCGCGGCGCGGATTCTTGTTTGTTGTTGTCGTCGCCCCCTCCGCGACCCGCCCCGCGACCCACCCGGAGCAAGACGGCGCTTTTTTTTGTTGTCGTCGCCCTCCCCGCGCCCCGCCACGCGACCCACCCGCAGCGAGGCGGCGCGAACGCAAACTGCGGCGCCTCGACGACCGCGTCGGCCGCGCCCGCCCCCCCCCCCCACTCTCATCCGCAATTGCGGGGTGCTACGGTATGCGTCCTCGTCGTCGTCATTCCTCCTGTGTCGCCGTCATCCGTTTTGTAATCCATCGCTTTTAAGCGCCCACGATGCGTGGATGATGGTGCTGATGATGACGATGGCGACGACAAATCGCTCGATATGTCCTCGCGAAAAGTTGATATGCTGGGCCCCTAGCGGGCCCCAACGCATTGATGGGCATGGCGGTTCGAGCGCAGCACGTCAATTGGGACATCCTCGCAAACGTCGGGCACGTGATCTTGTGTGCGAGCTTCAAAACGAAAGTTTCGCTCGGGGCTTCCTCCGCACCGTTATTGCGAAGGCCTTGCGGCCGGTGCCGCCGGCCCTGAAGGGCGACAACGACGACGACAACGACGACGACGACGGCGACGGCGACGGCGACGACGGCGACAGCTGATGGCCCTGCCACAGGCTCTGAACATGGGACGGGGGGGAAGGAGGAGGGCGAGGGCGAGGGGGAGGAAAAGGAGAAGGAGAACGAGGAGGAGGAGGAGGAGGAGGAGGAGGGAGAAGGAGGAGGGAGGAGGGAGGAGGGAGGAGGGACGGGGGGGAGGAGGAGGAGGAGGAGGAGGAGGAGGAGAAGGAGGAGGTTGAGACGGAGGAGGTGGAGGCGGAGGAGGTCGAGGAGGAGGAGGAATATGAGGCGGAGGGCGGAGGAAGAGGAGGAGGAGGAGGAGGAGGAGGAGGAGGGAGGAGGTGGTGAATGAGGAGGAGGACGACGATGAGGAGGAGGACGAGGAGGAGGAGGAGGGCGGAGGAAAAGGGGGGGGAGGAGGAGGTGGGCACGGAGGAGATGGAGACGGAGGAGGGCGGAGGAAGAGGAGAAGGACGATGAAGAGGATGGCGGAGGAGGAGGTGGGAGGAGGGGGGGGAGGAGGAGGGAGAGGAGGAGGGGATGGAGGGAGGAAGGACAGTCGATGAAGAAAGGAGAGAGCTGAGATCAGGATGGATGGAGGGTGGGAGGATGGATCCGTGCGCCTCGATCGTCCACCTTGGATCCTCGATCCTCGATCTTCCATCGTCGAGCTTCGATCGTCGATCCAAGATCGTCGACCTTGGATCCTTGATCTTCGATCTTCGATCCTCGGTCGTCGAGCCGGGGGTTCACGGGCGGGCTGCTGGGCTCGCAAGCCATTGCGATGTTCGTAGGATCAGGAGGAGCAATGAGGAGGATCAGGAGGCGGGAGGAAGAGGAGGAGAAGCATGCAGGATGACGACAACGAGAATATAGATGAATGGATCGTGGCCTTGACCCTCGATCGTCGATCAAAGATCGTTAACCTTGGATCGTCGATATTCGATCTTCGATCGTCGATCCTCGTTCTTCGATCGCCGAGCTGGAGAAAGAGCAGGAGGATGGAGAGGAGGAGGAGCGCCAGCGGCAGCAGCAAACACAACAGGAGGAGGGGGGGGATGACGACGAACAGGAGGAGGAGGATGAAGAGAGGATCAGAGGTATGGGAGGGGCGGGGCAATGGAAATGGACAATGGGAAGGGGAGGGGGAGGAGGAGGAAACGGAGGAGGAGGAGGAAAAGGAGGAGGAGGATGAGGAGGAGGAAGATGAGGAGGAGGAGGCGCACTGCTGCGTTTCAGGAGTGGTGTTAACTGGCAATGTGGTCCCACGGGCGGCTGGGTGCTCACAGTCACGGTGGCGCTCTGGCGCTCTGGCGCTGATCGGCTCCAGCACTCCTGATTGCGTTATGCTGCTTGGCAGGAGTGGTGTAACTGGCAATGTGCCCCCTCAAGAGTTACGAGAATTTATGGGCCAGCCATCAGGGCAGCAACAGCGGGCACGTTAGGCAGGAAGTCGGTCAATGAGGCAGCCAACAAGGGCGCGGGTCGCCAGTCGCGGCCTCGGGTCTCCAGCGCGGGTCGCGGGCTCTGGTCGCGCGCTCTGGTGGCGGACGCCGGTACCTCGGCCTGGTGGAGTCGAAGTTGCAGGAATGGCGCCGGGCGTGTTTCGGCCAGGACGTGCCGTGCGCCCTTGTGCAGGACCACGAGAAGTGCCTGTGGCAGGCGGACAATTTAGCTGCGATGCGAGGGGCGGGGTGCACCGCGATTCAGGAGTTCCCGAAGTCGTCCCCCGACCTGAACGCGATCGAGGGCGCCTGGCACTTGCTGCGCCAGCGCCTGGAGCAGACGGAGCCCGACGAGATCGAGGGCCGCGCCGAGTTCCTGGCCCGCCTCCGCAGGAACGTCCGCTGGCTCAATGGGCACCAGGCTGAGGTCCTGCAGGAGGTGTGTTGCAACCAGAAAAAGCGCGCTGCAGATGTCCTTCAGTTGAACGGCGCGAAGACTAAGTGGTGAGCGCGGCGCACGCTGTTCACCTGGGCTCTGCCACGAAGCACTTGCGGCGCCAGCAGACAGAGTTTGTATAGTTCCTTAAAAAGCGTTACTACCCTTGCCCACGCCCTGCCATTCATTGCCCGTCACCCATCATTACACTGGCATCGCTTTCAATGCATCATGCTCCGCCAGGAGCTGTTCGGGGAGATCGACGGCGCGCGTTGCCCCGTGGCCAGGGGAAGGGGCTCGCGGGGGAGCGGCGGCGGCGGCGGTGGCGGGCGGCGTCTGCGCGCCGCCAAGGCGCGCCGGCTGCCGAGCTCCCGTCCGCCGACCAGGCGGCGAGCGGGGAGGCGCCCCCCCAGCCGCGCCGCCTGCTTCTCTCTGCGTAGCAGCGGATAGCAGCGGTCCAGCCGTCCCCGCCACTGCGCGCGTGCACGTAAAATCACAATTGCCCGCCATTGCCCGCCTATTACCCGCTCTATTACCCGCCCATTTTTACTCATTACCCGCTTGGATTCATTAAAATAGAAAGATTTAGAATAATTACTTATTCTTTTATAATAATAATAGTGGCGGGTAATTGGTGAATAATGAGCGGGTAATAGAGCGGGTAATGGGCGGGCAATGGCGGGCAATTATGATTTCACGCACGCGATGGCTGCCCTCCAAGGTCGCAGCCGTTCGCCCCCAACAGGTTCCCCGCTTCTCCCGCTGACGGCTCTCACTGGGAGCGCCAATGGCCGCCGACGCCGGGCCGTCACAGGTGCTGTCCCCCGCGGCTTTGACGGAGGCGGCGATGCAGGTGCTGCCCGAGACGGATGCGGCAAACACGACCCTCGACCAGTTCTGCAAGAGGCGTACGCGGCTGGAGACGCACACTTCCCGCCGCGCGTCGACTCTGCGCATTTTGCCCAGAGTCGACGCCCGGCGCGCGGGGAGGGCTGCGTCTCCGCGCCGCGCAGGTTGGCTCGTCATCTCGGGTTGCCCGAGACTGGCATGGATCGCTTTGCCGAGGACGTTTCCAGGGAGGTGCAGGCCGCGCTGGCGCAGCAGGGATCTCCGGCCCAGCGCATGAACCGTCTCACGGCGGACCTGGGGGACCCCGCGCGCGATGCGAAGCGGGACGTCTACCTTGTGACGATATCCCGCGTTCTCCCGGACGCGCTCGACCAGACCGACCTGGTGGACGTCGAGGCGATGAGTCGCGAGGGCGTCGGGCGGGCGCTCCTGAGCGCCCTGAACGGGAACGGGGGCGGCGTTGTGAAGAAGATGGCGGTGTTCAAGGCTCTGGGGCGGGATCCTGCGCGGGCGGGCGAGGCCCCGACCGGCTGCGACATGCCTCGCTCGGCGCTGGGCCGCCTGCGCGAGCTCCGAGCGGGGCGCGTCGCTGGCCGGCGAGATCTCGCCCCGCCTTGTGGGGCGCTCCCCACAGGAGACGCACGCGGATGGGTCGTCGCACTTCCACGCCGCAGTTTCTCTCTTCCAGAACAGGCGCTGGTTCCCCGTCGAGCGCGCCGTCCGCGAGCATGCGAAGATGGCTACCCACTGGTCTTGCAGCCATTCGCAGTGGTGGAGCGCGCTGCGATACTGTGCCATCCCCACGCTGAAGAAGCCCGTCGTGGACGGCAGCGCGTGGCCCTGGTCCCATGACGGTTCCCCGATTGACTTCTTCGAGGAGTCCCAGCGGCCTTTCCAGGCCGGCGCGTGGAAGAGGCGCCGCGAGGAGGTAGAGAAGAGTGCTGCCGCGGGGGGCGCGCCGCCGAAGAAGTTCAGCAAACTCGACCTGACGGCAGTGATCCTGGACCAGGAGCTCAAGACTAAGGCCGCCGTCTTAGAGTACATCCAGAGCCGCGGAACCGAGGCGATGCAGCGCTTCGTCCACAACCACCAGCGGCAGCTGGGCGAGTACATCGCCGAGGCCGCCGAGTGGGGGAACGCTCGGAAGGCCGCCGACTTGGAGCGCAAGTCCGACTGGGACATGGTCTGCGCAGCCGCCGATGACGCCTGCGGCAATGACGAGGATGAGTGCAGCTACAAGGTGGCTGCGGAGGCGTTCTTTGAGGTGAACCAGGGCAGCATCTCTCGCGCGGAGTTGGCCTGCGCCCTGAGGGCGATTATCGTGAACGGGCCCTCCAAGACCACGCGGACGCCACTCATCGTGGGCCCGACCAACACAGGTAAGTCCACTTTGCTCATGCCATTTGACAAGCTGTTCGGGCAGTCGAACGTGCTCCACAAGCCGGCGCTGGGGTCCAAGTTCGCTTTGCGCAACATTACCAAGGGGAACATGCGGTTCATCTTCTGGGATGATTATCGCCCAGTGGAGTACGCCCAGAAGACCGTGGAGGTGGCGACCTTCCTGAGCCTCTTCACGGGCCACCCGTTCGAGGTCCAGGTGTCGCAGAGCTTCAACGACGGCAACCCCGACGCGCAGTGGAACAGGGGCGCCGCCATGACGGCCAAGGAGGCGGGGCTCTGGGAGCCGAAAGGCGCCGTGTCGGCCGAAGACGTCCGCCACATGCAGAGTCGCGTGCAGGTCTTCCCCGCCAGGGTGCTGCCCAGGACTGCCATGAGGGACGCGTGCCCCTGTCCTGGCTGCATGTGCCGTTGGATCCGGGAGGCTGCGGCGCAAGCAGACATTGACGAGCTTGTCCGCCTCGCGCCCGCTGCGCTCCGCTCTTCGCCGGCCGTGCTTCCCTTGGCCGACGGCGCCAGGGCGCCCTCGGGGGCCGCGACCGCGGCGCAGGCGGCAGCGGCCATCAACGTGAACGGCTTGGACGAGTTGGCGGTCAAGGCGGCGTTGCCTCCTGAGGCCGTGAGGGCGTTGCGCGTCGAGCTTGTGGAGCTCGGTGCTGTCGGCGTGGGGGGCTCACAGAGGACGACTGGCGCGGCCTCCGTGCCTGGGGGGCGCTGAGGCACTTCGAGCAGCGCCGTCTGCTGAAGTCCTTGGAGATGTAGACGGTCGGGCCCCGTCTGCCGCCCGTGGCGCATGGGCAGAGTGCGCAAAGCGCATGTTTGAAGAGTGCGTGTGGCGCACGCCAGTGCGCCACGCGCCATGTAATTCGGTGCATCGTTGAGTCGCGCAGGCTGCGCTGCACGGGGCTGCTTTAGCAGACGCATGGGCCGCCTGCCTGGCGAGGTGGCCTTCCAAATATCCGACCACGGCAGGCGCGGGGAGCGCAGTTCCGCCTGCTGACCTAGATCACTTGAGAACATCGCAGTTCATTCCCTCTTCATCTGGGCCACTCATGCTGTTATTCTCTATCATTTGTTCCTCCTTTCTTCCTCCTCCGCGCCTCCTCGCGTTCCCCCCCCCCCCCGTGACGTATCCCTCGTCGTTGCTCCTGCTGCTGCCCGCATTCCTCCAGAACGACCTCATGCCCTCGTGCCCGCCCTGCCCGTTCCTCGTTGCACTGGCGCGTGAAACATCAGAGCGAGGGGGCCCGAACGGTCATTCACTGTCCCTTGGCGCGTGGCTGAAATATCGGTCCGCGGCGCGGATTCTTGTTTGTTGTTGTCGTCGCCCCCTCCGCGACCCGCCCCGCGACCCACCCGGAGCAAGACGGCGCTTTCTTTTGTTGTCGTCGTCCTCCCCGCGCCCCGCCACGCGACCCACCCGCAGCAAGGCGGCGCGAACACAAACTGCGGCGCCTCGACGACCGCGTCGGCCGCGCCCGCCCCCCCCCCCCCACTCTCATCCGCAATTGCGGGGTGCTGCGGTATGCGTCCTCGTCGTCGTCATTCCTCCTGTTTCGTCGTAGCGCCCACGATGCGTGGATGACGGTGCTGACGATGGCGATGGCGACGACAAATCGCTCGATATGTCCTCGCGAAAAGTTGATATGCTGGGCCCCTAGCGGGTCCCAACGCATTGATGGGCATGGCGGTTCGAACGCAGCGCGTCAATTGGGCCATCCTCGCAAACATCGGGCACGTGATCTTGTGTGCGAGCTTCAAAACGAAAGTTTCGCTCGGGGCTTTCTCCGCGCCATCATTGCGAAGGCCTTGCGGCCGGCGCCGCCGGCCCTGAGGGGCGACAACGACGACGACAACGACGACGACGACGGCGACGGCGACGACGGCGACAGCTGATGGCCCTGCCACAGGCTCTGAACATGGGACGGGGGGGAAGGAGGAGGACGAGGGCGAGGGGGAGGAAAAGGAGAAGGAGAACGAGGAGGAGGAGGAGGAGGAGGGAGGAGGAGGGGGAGGAGGGAGAAGGAGGAGGGAGGAGGGAGGAGGGGGGAGGGAGGGTGAGGGGAGGAGGAGGAGGAGGAGGAGGAGGAGAAGGAGGAGGTTGAGACGGAGGAGGTGGAGGCGGAGGAGGTCGAGGAGGAGGGGGAAGAGGAGGCGGAGGGCGGAGGAAGAGGAGGAGGAGGAGGAGGAGGAGGAGGGAGGAGGAGGGTGGTGGATGAGGAGGAGGACGACGATGAGGAGGAGGACGAGGAGGAGGAGGAGGGCGGAGGAAAAGGGGGAGGAGGAGGAGGTGGACACGGAGGAGATGGAGACGGAGGAGGGCGGAGGAAGAGGAGGAGGACGATGAAGAGGATGGCGGAGGAGGAGGTGGGAGGAGGGGGGGGGGAGGAGGGAGAGGAGGAGGGGATGGAGGGAGGAAGGACAGTCGATGAAGAAAGGAGAGAGATGAGATCAGGATGGATGGAGGGTGGGAGGATGGATCCTTGCGCCTCGATCGTCCACCTTGGATCCTCGATCCTCGATCTTCCATCGTCGAGCTTCGATCGTCGATCCAAGATCGTCGACCTTGGATCCTTGATCTTCGATCTTCGATCCTCGATCGTCGAGCCGGGGGTTCACGGGCGGGCTGCCGGGCTCGCAAGCCATTGCGATGTTCGTAGGATCAGGAGGAGCAATGAGGAGGACCAGGAGGCGGGAGGAAGAGGAGGAGAAGCATGCAGGATGACGACGACGGGAATAAAGATGAATGGATCGTGGCCTCGACCCTCGATCGTCGATCAAAGATCGTTAACCTTGGATCGTCGATATTCGATCTTCGATCGTCGATCCTCGTTCTTCGATCGCCGATCGCCGAGCTGGAGAAAGAGCAGGAGGATGGAGAGGAGGAGGAGCGCCAGCGGCAGCAGCAAACACAACAGGAGGAGGGGGGGATGACGACGAACAGGAGGAGGATGAAGAGAGGATCAGAGGTATGGGAGGGGCGGGGCAATGGAAATGGACAGTGGGAAGGGGAGGGGGGGGAGGAGGAAACGGAGGAGGAGGAGGAAAAGGAGGAGGAGGAGGATGAGGAGGAGGAGGACGAGGAGGAGGAGGCGCACTGCTGCGATTCAGGAGTGGTGTTAACTGGCAATGTGGTCCCACAGGCGGCTGGGTGCTCACAGTCACGGTGGTGCTCTGGCGCTGATCGGCCCCAGAACTCCTGATTGCGTAATGCTGCTTGGCAGGAGTGGTGTAACTGGCAATGTGATCCCTCAAGAGTTACGATAATTTATGGGCCAGCCATCAGGGCAGCAACAGCGGGCACGTTAGGCAGGAAGTCGGTCAATGAGGCAGTCAACAAGGGCGCGGGTCGCCGGTCGCGGCCTCGGGTCTCCAGCGCGGGTCGCGGGCTCTGGTCGCGCGCTCTGGTGGCGGACGCCGGTACCTCGGCCTGGTGGAGTCGAAGTTCCAGGAATGGCGCCGGGCGCGTTTCGGCCAGGACGCGCCGTGCGCCCTTGTGCAGGACCACGAGAAGTGCCCGTGGCAGGCGGACAATTTAGCTGCGATGCGAGGGGCGGGGTGCACCGTGATTCAAGAGTTCCCGAAGTCGTCCCCCGACCTGAACGCGATCGAGGGCGCCTGGCACTTGCTGCGCCAGCGCCTGGAGCAGACGGAGCCCGACGAGATCGAGGGCCGCGCCGAGTTCCTGGCCCGCCTCCGCAGGAACGTCCGCTGGCTCAATGAGCACCAGGCCGAGGTCCTGCAGGAGGTGCGTTGCAACCGGAAAAAGCGCGCTGCAGATGTCCTTCAGTTGAACGGCGCGAAGACTAAGTGGTGAGCGCGGCGCACGCTGTTCACCTGGGCTCTGCCACGAAGCACTTGCGGCGCCAGCAGACAGAGTTTGTATAGTTCCTTAAAAAACGTTACTACCCTTGCCCACGCCCTGCCATTCATTGCCCGTCACCCATCATTATACTGGCATCGCTTTCAATGCATCATGCTCCGCCAGGAGCTGTTCGGGGAGATCGACGGCGCGCGTTGCCCCGTGGCCAGGGGAAGGGGCTCGCGGGGGAGCGGCGGCGGCGGTGGCGGGCGGCGTCTGCGCGCCGCCAGGGCGCGCCGGCTGCCGAGCTCCCGTCCGCCGACCAGGCGGCGAGCGGGGAGGCGCCCCCCCAGCCGCGCCGCCTGCTTCTCTCTGCGTAGCAGCGGATAGCAGCGGCCCCGCCGTCCCCGCCACTGCGCGCGTGCACGTAAAATCACAATTGCCCGCCATTACCCGCCTATTACCCGCTCTATTACCCGCCCATTTTTTACTAATTACCCGCTTGGATTCATTAAAATAGAAAGATTTAGAATACTTACTTATTCTTTTATAATAATAATAGTGGCGGGTAATTGGTGAATAATGAGCGGGTAATAGAGCGGGCAATGGGCGGGTAATGGCGGGCAATTATGATTTCACGCACGCGATGGCTGCCCTCCAAGGTCGCAGCCGTTCGCCCCCAACAGGTTCCCCGCTTCTCCCGCTGACGGCTCTCACTGGGAGCGCCAATGGCCGCCAACGCCGGGCCGTCACAGGTGCTGTCCCCCGCGGCTTTGACGGAGGCGGCGATGCAGGTGCTGCCCGAAACGGATGCGGCAAACACGACCCACGACCAGTTCTGCAAGAGGCGTACGCGGCTGGAGACGCACACTTCCCGCCGCGCGTCGACTCTGCGTGCCCAGAGTCGACGCCCGGCGCGCGGGGAGGGCTGCGTCTCCGCGCCGCGCAGGTTGGCTCGTCATCTCGGGTTGCCCGAGACTGGCATGGATCGCTTTGCCGAGGACGTTTCCAGGGAGGTGCAGGCCGCGCTGGCGCAGCAAGGATCTCCGGCCCAGCGCATGAACCGTCTCACGGCGGAACTGGGGGACCCCGCGCGCGATGCGAAGCGGGACGTCTACCTTGTGACGATATCCCGCGTTCTCCCGGACGCGCTCGACCAGACCGACCTGGTGGACGTCGAGGCGATGAGTCGCGAGGGCGTCGGGCGGGCGCGCCCCTGAGCGCCTGAACGGGATGGGTGCAGGCGTTGTGGAAGAAGATGGCGGTTTGTTTTAGGGGTTTTCAAGGCTTCTTGGGGCGGGATCCTGCGCGGGCGGGCGAGGCCCCGACCGGCTGCGACATGCCTCGCTCGGCGCTGGGCCGCCTGCGCGAGCTCCGAGCGGGGCGCGTCGCCGGCCGGCGAGATCTCGCCCCGCCATGTGGGGCGCTCCCCACAGGAGACGCACGCGGATGGGTCGTCGCACTTCCATGCCGCAGTTTCTCTCTTCCAGAACAGGCGGAGGTTCCCCGTCGAGCGCGCCGTCCGCGAGCATGCGAAGATGGCTACCCACTGGTCTTGCAGCCATTCGCAGTGGTGGAGCGCGCTGCGATACTGTGCCATCCCCACGCTGAAGAAGCCCGTCGTGGACGGCAGCGCGTGGCCCTGGTCCCATGACGGTTCCCCGATTGACTTCTTCGAGGAGTCCCAGCGGCCTTTCCAGGCCGGCGCGTGGAAGAGGCGCCGCGAGGAGGTAGAGAAGAGTGCTGCCGCGGGGGGCGCGCCACCGAAGAAGTTCAGCAAACTCGACCTGACGGTAGTGATCCTGGACCAGGAGCTCAAGACTAAGGCCGCCGTCTTAGAGTACATCCAGAGCCGCGGAACCGAGGCGATGCAGCGCTTCGTCCACAACCACCAGCGGCAGCTGGGCGAGTACATCGCCGAGGCCGCCGAGTGGGGGAACGCTCGGAAGGCCGCCGACTTGAAGCGCAAGTCCGACTGGGACATGGTCTGCGCAGCCGCCGATGACGCCTGCGGCAATGACGAGGATGAGTGCAGCTACAAGGTGGCTGCGGAGGCGTTCTTTGAGGCGAACCAGGGCAGCATCTCTCGCGCGGAGTTGGCCTGCGCCCTGAGGGCGATTGTCGTGAACGGGCCCTCCAAGACCACGCGGACGCCACTCATCGTGGGCCCGACCAACGCAGGTAAGTCCACTTTGCTCATGCCATTTGACAAGCTGTTCGGGCAGTCGAACGTGCTCCACAAGCCGGCGCTGGGGTCCAAGTTCGCTTTGCGCAACATTACCAAGGGGAACATGCGGTTCATCTTCTGGGATGATTATCGCCCAGTGGAGTACGCCCAGAAGACCGTGGAGGTGGCGACCTTCCTGAGCCTCTTCACGGGCCACCCGTTCGAGGTCCAGGTGTCGCAGAGCTTCAACGACGGCAACCCCGACGCGCAGTGGAACAGGGGCGCCGCCATGACGACCAAGGAGGCGGGGCTCTGGGAGCCGAAATGCGCCGTGTCGGCCGAAGACGTCCGCCACATGCAGAGTCGCGTGCAGGTCTTCCCCGCCAGGGTGCTGCCCAGGACTACCATGAGGGACGCGTGCCCCTGTCCTGGCTGCATGTGCCGTTGGATCCGGGAGGCTGCGGCGCGGCAAGCAGACATTTGACGAGCTTTGGTCCGCCTGCGCCGCTGCGCTCGCTCTTTCGCCGGCCGTTGCTTCCCTTGCGACGGCCGCCGGGGGCTCGGGGTGCCCGCGACCGCGCGCTAGGCGGCAGCGGCCATCTAACGTGAACGGCTCTTGGAACGAGTTGGCGGTTCAAAGGCAGCGTTTTGCCTCCTGAGGCCGTGAGGGCGTGCGGTCGAGCTTGTGGAGCTCGGTTGCTGTCGGCGTGGGGGGTCTCATGAGGACGACTGGCGCGGGCCTCCGTGCCTGGGGGCGCTGAGGCACTTCGAGCAGCGCCGTCTGCTGAAGTCCTTGGAGATGTAGACGGTCGGGCCCCGTCTGCCGCCCGTGGCGCATGGGCAGAGTGCGCAAAGCGCAGGTTTGAAGAGTGCGTGTGGCGCACGCCAGTGCGCCACGCGCCATGTAATTCGGTGCATCGTTGAGTCGTGCAGGCTGCGCTGCACGGGGCTGCTTTAGCAGACGCATGGGCCGCCTGCCTGGCGAGGTGGCCCTCCAAATATCCGACCACGGCAGGCGCGGGGAGCGCAGTTCCGCCTGTTGACCTAGATCACTTGAGAACATCACAGTTCATTCCCTCTTCATCTGGACCACTCATGCTGTTATTCTCTATCATTTGTTCCTCCTTTCTTCCTCCTCCGCGCCGCCTCGCGTTCCCCCTCCCCCCCGTGACGTATCCCTCGTCGTTGCTCCTGCTGCTGCCCGCATTCCTCCAGAACGACCTCATGCCCTCATGCCCGCCCTGCCCGTTCCTCGTTGCACTGGCGCATGAAACATCAGAGCGAGGGGGCCCGAACGGTCATTCACTGTCCCTTGGCGCGTGGCTGAAATATCGGTCCGCGGCGCGGATTCTTGTTTGTTGTTGTCGTCGTCCCCTCCGCGACCCGCCCCGCGAGCCACCCGGAGCAAGACGGCGCTTTCTTTTGTTGTCGTCGTCCTCCCCGCGCCCCGCCACGCGACCCGCCCGCAGCAAGGCGGCGCGAACGCAAACTGCGGCGCCTCGACGACCGCGTCGGCCGCGCCCGCCACCCCCCACTCTCATCCGCAATTGCGGGGTGCTACGGTATGCGTCCTCGTCGTCGTCATTCCTCCTGTGTCGTCGCCATTCGTTTTATAATCCTTGATCGCTTTTAAGCGCCCACGATGCGTGGATGATGGTGCTGATGATGACGATGGCGACGACAAATCGCTCGATATGTCCTCGCGAAAAGTTGATATGCTGGGCCCCTAGCGGGCCCCAACGCATTGATGGGCATGGCGGTTCGAACGCAGCACGTCAATTGGGGCATCCTCGCAAACATCGGGCACGTGATCTTGTGTGCGAGCTTCAAAACGAAAGTTTCGCTCGGGGCTTCCTCCGCACCATTATTGCGAAGGCCTTGCGGCCGGTCCGCTAGGCCTGAAGGGCGACAACGCCGACGAAACGACGACGAAGACGGCCGACGGCGAGCGGCGACAGCGATGGCCTGCCACAGGCCTGAACATGGGACGGGGGGGGAAGGAGGAGGACGAGGGGAGGAGGAGGAAAAGGCGAAGGAAGAAGAGGAGGAGGAGGAGGGGGAGGAGTGTGGAGGAGGAGGAGGAGGGAGAAGGAGGGGGAGGAGGGAAGAGGGAGGAGGAGGAGGGAGGGGGGGTGTAGGAGGAGGAGGAGGAGGAGGAGGAGATGGAGGAGGTTGGACGGAGGAGGTGGAGGCGAGGGAGGAGGTCGAGGAGGAGGAGGAAGAGGAGGCGGAGGGTCGGAGGAAGAGGAGGGGGGGAATGTGAGGACGAGGAGGGAGGAGGAGGTGGGGGATGTTGATTTAAGGAGGAGGAGGCCGACGAGGAGTGGGTTCGAGGAGGAGGAGGAGGGCGGAGGAAAAGGGGGGGGAGGAGGAGGTGGACACGGAGGAGATGGAGACGGAGGAGGGCGGAGGAAGAGGAGGAGGACGATGAAGAGGGTGGCGGAGGAGGAGGTGGGAGGAGGAGGAGGAGGAGGAGGGAGAGGAGGAGGGGATGGAAGGAGGAAGGACAGTCGATGAAGAAAGGAGAGAGCTGAGATCAGGATGGATGGAGGGTGGGAGGATGGATCCTTGCGCCTCGATCGTCCACCTTGGACCCTCGATCCTCGATCTTCCATCGTCGAGCTTCGATCGTCGATCCAAGATCGTCGACCTTGGATCCTTGATCTTCGATCTTCGATCCTCGGTCGTCGAGCAGGGGGTTCACGGGCGGGCTGCTGGGCTCGCAAGCCATTGCGACGTTCGTGGGACCAGGAGGAGCAATGAGGAGGATCAGGAGGCGGGAGGAAGAGGAGGAGAAGCATGCAGGATGACGACGACGGGAATAAAAATGAATGGATCGTGGCCTCGACCCTGGATCGTCGATCAAAGATCGTTAACCTTGGATCGTCGATATTCGATCTTCGATCGTCGATCCTCGTTCTTCGATCGCCGATCGCCGAGCTGGAGAAAGAGCAGGAGGGTGGAGAGGAAGAGGAGCGCCAGCGGCAGCAGCAAACACAACAGGAGGAGGGGGGGGATGACGACGAACAGGAGGAGGAGGATGAAGAGAGGATCAGAGGTATGGGAGGGGCGGGGCAATGGAAATGGACAGTGGGAAGGGGATGGGGGAGGAGGAGGAAACGGAGGAGGAGGAGGAAAAGGAGGAGGAGGAGGATGAGGGGGAGGAGGATGGGGAGGAGGAGGCGCACTGCTGCGTTTCAGGAGTGGTGTTAACTGGCAATGTGGTCCCACGGGCGGCTGGGTGCTCACAGTCACGGTGGCGCTCTGACGCTCTGGCGCTGATCGGCTCCAGCACTCCTGATTGCGTAATGCTGCTTGGCAGGAGTGGTGTAACTGGCAATGTGCCCCCTCAAGAGTTACGAGAATTTATGGGCCAGCCATCAGGGCAGCAACAGCAGGCACGTTAGGCAGGAAGTCGGTCAATGAGGCAGCCAACAAGGGCGCGGGTCGCCGGTCGCGGCCTCGGGTCTCCAGCGCGGGTCGCGGGCTCTGGTCGCGCGCTCTGGTGGCGGACGCCGGTGCCTCGGCCTGGTGGAGTCGAAGTTCCAGGAATGGCGCCGGGCGTGTTTCGGCCAGGACGTGCCGTGCGCCCTTGTGCAGGACCACGAGAAGTGCCTGTGGCAGGCGGACAATTTAGCTGCGATGCGAGGGGCGGGGTGCACCGTGATTCAGGAGTTCCCGAAGTCGTCCCCCGACCTGAACGCGATCGAGGGCGCCTGGCACTTGCTGCGCCAGCGCCTGGAGCAGACGGAGCCCGACGAGATCGAGGGCCGCGCCGAGTTCCTGGCCCGCCTCCGCAGGAACGTCCGCTGGCTCAATGAGCACCAGGCTGAGGTCCTGCAGGAGGTGTGTTGCAACCAGAAAAAGCGCGCTGCAGATGTCCTTCAGTTGAACGGCGCGAAGACTAAGTGGTGAGCGCGGCGCACGCTGTTCACCTGGGCTCTGCCACGAAGCACTTGCGGCGCCAGCAGACAGAGTTTGTATAGTTCCTTAAAAAGCGTTACTACCCTTGCCCACGCCCTGCCATTCATTGCCCGTCACCCATCATTATACTGGCATCGCTTTCAATGCATCATGCTCCGCCAGGAGCTGTTCGGGGAGATCGACGGCGCGCGTTGCCCCGTGGCCAGGGGAAGGGGCTCGCGGGGGAGCGGCGGCGGCGGCGGTGGCGGGCGGCGTCTGCGCGCCGCCAGGGCGCGCCGGCTGCCGAGCTCCCGTCCGCCGACCAGGCGGCGAGCGGGGAGGCGCCCCCCCAGCCGCGCCGCCTGCTTCTCTCTGCGTAGCAGCGGATAGCAGCGGTCCAGCCGCCCCCGCCACTGCGCGCGTGCACGTAAAATCACAATTGCCCGCCATTACCCGCCTATTACCCGCTCTATTACCCGCCCATTTTTTACTAATTACCCGCTTGGATTCATTAAAATAGAAAGATTTAGAATAATTACTTATTCTTTTATAATAATAATAGTGGCGGGTAATTGGTGAATAATGAGCGGGTAATAGAGCGGGTAATGGGCGGGTAATGGCGGGCAATTATGATTTCACGCACGCGATGGCTGCCCTCCAAGGTCGCAGCCGTTCGCCCCCAACAGGTTCCCCGCTTCTCCCGCTGACGGCTCTCACTGGGAGCGCCAATGGCCGCCAACGCCGGGCCGTCACAGGTGCTGCCCCCCGCGGCTTTGACGGAGGCGGCGATGCAGGTGCTGCCCGAGACGGATGCGGCAAACGCGACCCTCGACCAGTTCTGCAAGAGGCGTGCGCGGCTGGAGACGCACACTTCCCGCCGTGCGTCGACTCTGCGCACTTTGCCCAGAGTCGACGCCCGGCGCGCGGGGAGGGCTGCGTCTCCGCGCCGCGCAGGTTGGCTCGTCATCTCGGGTTGCCCGAGACTGGCTTGGATCGCTTTGCCGAGGACGTTTCCAGGGAGGTGCAGGCCGCGCTGGCGCAGCAGGGATCTCCGGCCCAGCGCATGAACCGTCTCACGGCGGACCTGGGGGACCCCGCGCGCGATGCGAAGCGGGGCGTCTACCTTGTGACGATATCCCGCGTTCTCCCGGACGCGCTCGACCAGACCGACCTGGTGGACGTCGAGGCGATGAGTCGCGAGGGCGTCGGGCGGGCGCTCCTGAGCGCCCTGAACGGGAACGGGGGCGGCGTTGTGAAGAAGATGGCGGTGTTCAAGGCTCTGGGGCGGGATCCTGCGCGGGCGGGCGAGGCCCCGACCGGCTGCGACATGCCTCGCTCGGCGCTGGACCGCCTGCGCGAGCTCCGAGCGGGGCGCGTCGCTGGCCGGCGAGATCTCGCCCCGCCTTGTGGGGCGCTCCCCACAGGAGACGCACGCGGATGGGTCGTCGCACTTCCATGCCGCAGTTTCTCTCTTCCAGAACAGGCGCTGGTTCCCCGTCGAGCGCGCCGTCCGCGAGCATGCGAAGATGGCTACCCACTGGTCTTGCAGCCATTCGCAGTGGTGGAGCGCGCTGCGATACTGTGCCATCCCCACGCTGAAGAAGCCCGTCGTGGACGGCAGCGCGTGGCCCTGGTCCCATGACGGTTCCCCGATTGACTTCTTCGAGGAGCCCCAGCGGCCTTTCCAGGCCGGCGCGTGGAAGAGGCGCCGCGAGGAGGTAGAGAAGAGTGCTGCCGCGGGGGGTGCGCCGCCGAAGAAGTTCAGCAAACTCGACCTGACGGCAGTGATCCTGGACCAGGAGCTCAAGACTAAGGCCGCCGTCTTAGAGTGCATCCAGAGCCGCGGAACCGAGGCGATGCAGCGCTTCGTCCACAACCACCAGCGGCAGCTGGGCGAGCACATCGCCGAGGCCGCCGAGTGGGGGAACGCTCGGAAGGCCGCCGACTTGGAGCGCAAGTCCGACTGGGACATGGTCTGCGCAGCCGCCGATGACGCCTGCGGCAATGACGACGATGAGTGCAGCTACAAGGTGGCTGCGGAGGCGTTCTTTGAGGTGAACCAGGGCAACATCTCTCGCGCGGAGTTGGCCTGCGCCCTGAGGTCGATTATCGTGAACGGGCCCTCCAAGACCACGCGGACGCCACTCATCGTGGGCCCGACCAACACAGGTAAGTCCACTTTGCTCATGCCATTTGACAAGCTGTTCGGGCAGTCGAACGTGCTCCACAAACCGGCGCTGGGGTCCAAGTTCGCTTTGCGCAACATCACCAAGGGGAACATGCGGTTCATCTTCTGGGATGATTATCGCCCAGTGGAGTACGCCCAGAAGACCGTGGAAGTGGCGACCTTCCTGAGCCTCTTCACGGGCCACCCCTTCGAGGTCCAGGTGTCGCAGAGCTTCAACGACGGCAACCCCGACGCGCAGTGGAACAGGGGCGCCGCCATGACGGCCAAGGAGGCGGAGCTCTGGGAGCCGAAAGGCGCCGTGTCGGCCGAAGCCAGTCGCCACATGACAGAGTCGCGTGCAGATCTTTCCCGCAGTGTGCTGCACAGGACTTGCCATGGAGGGCGCGTGCCCCTGTTCCTGGCTGCCTGCATGTGCCTTGGATCCGGGAGCTGAGGCGCAAAGGGACATTGACGACCTGTCCGCCATCGCGCACGCTGCGCGCCGCTACTTCGCCGGGCCGTGCTTCCCTTGGCCGACGGGCGCCAGGGCGCCCTCGGGGGCAGCCGACCGCGGCGCAGGCGGGCAGCGGCCATTAAACGTGAACGGCTGGACGAGTTGGCGGTCAAAGGAGGATTTGCCTCCTGAGGCCGTGAGGGCGTTGCGCGTCGAGCTTGTGGAGCTCGGTGCTGTCGGCGTGGGGGAGCTCACAGAGGACGACTGGCGCGGCCTCCGTGCCTGGGGGACGCTGAGGCACTTCGAGCAGCGCCGTCTGCTGAAGTCCTTGGAAATGTAGACGGTCGGGCCCCGTCTGCCGCCCGTGGCGCATGGGCAGAGTGCGCAAAGCGCATGTTTGAAGAGTGCGTGTGGCGCACGCCAGTGCGCCACGCGCCATGTAATTCGGTGCATCGTTGAGTCGTGCAGGCTGCGCTGCACGGGGCTGCTTTAGCAGACGCATGGGCCGCCTGCCTGGCGAGGTGGCCCTCCAAATATCCGACCACGGCAGGCGCGGGGAGCGCAGTTCCGCCTGTTGACCTAGATCACTTGAGAACATCACAGTTCATTCCCTCTTCATCTGGACCACTCATGCTGTTATTCTCTATCATTTGTTCCTCCTTTCTTCCTCCTCCGCGCCTCCTCGCGTTCCCCCTCCCCCCCGTGACGTATCCCTCGTCGTTGCTCCTGCTGCTGCCCGCATTCCTCCAGAACGACCTCATGCCCTCATGCCCGTCCTGCCCGTTCCTCGTTGCACTGGCGCGTGAAACATCAGAGCGAGGGGGCCCGAACGGTCATTCACTGTCCCTTGGCGCGTGGCTGAAATATCGGTCCGCGGCGCGGATTCTTGTTTGTTGTTGTCGTCGTCCCCTCCGCGACCCGCCCCGCGAGCCACCCGGAGCAAGACGGCGCTTTCTTTTGTTGTCGTCGTCCTCCCCGCGCCCCGCCACGCGACCCACCCGCAGCAAGGCGGCGCGAACGCAAACTGCGGCGCCTCGACGACCGCGTCGGCCGCGCCCGCCCCCCCCCCACCACTCTCATCCGCAATTGCGGGGTGCTACGGTATGCGTCCTCGTCGTCGTCATTCCTCCTGTGTCGTCGTCATTCGTTTTGTAATCCTCAACCCCGTGCGAAAAGCAACTGGGGTTTGGCGAGCTTCCCGGCCCCCGAATTTCAATGTTCATCGTGCGACCAGCGAAGTTCGAAAAACAAATCGACCCCGCGTTGAACATTGAAATTGGGGGGGGTGTGGGGTGGTGGGGGGGGGGGGCGCGAAAACCCCAGTTGCTTTTCGTGCGGGGTTGTAGGCGTGTACAACAGTTACAAAAATGGAGGGCGGCCCATGTTCAAAATGTGGCTATCGCCTGAGACCTCCCCGCTCTCAGGACCAGAATGGGGAAGCGTGCTACAGCTCACATGGATGGAGGACATACTTTGTCGAACGCGGTAGTCTTGCGGGTCACTTCCTTGAATCCAAGGCAGCTCGCCGCTAACAAACAGGGAGCATACATCGGGCGTCGCCCTGTGGAGCCTGCCAAGGCTGTGCCACCCATGTGGCGCGTCATGGGGTGCGCCATAGGTTGCGTCGTCCATGGGTCACGCCATGGGCCTCGCCGCGAATGAATGGCGCCATCCACGGGTTCCGAAGTGGGTTGCGCCATTGTCCATCCATGGCTTGCGCTCCAGGTTGCGCACTCGGCGGACGAGGCATGCTATTGGTTGCGCGATCGGCGGCCGAGATCAATCCTGCCTGCTGTCGATCGCGTCATAAACTGCGTTTCGGCGTGATGGAGAACTCTGGTATGAAATTCTGCTACATAAGGCCTGGCACTGGAGGATGTATTGCAACAGCGTTGATGAATCCTGGATTTACCATGGACCCTCTCCTCCTCCTTGAGGGGCAATGATAGGGGGGGACTGGCATAGGGGGGGATGCATCGACCTGGAATCGGCGATAATACATCGTCGATAGATCGGCGATTGGCCTCCGAATCCGCACCTGCCTGGGCAGGTTGGGGCTATCGGGCCCCTATCGGCGATCATTGGGCAATTGGGGGTCGATGCATCCCCCCCTATGCCTATCCCCCCCTATCGTTGCCCCTGACTCCTCCCCCATCTTTTACCTCCCGCCAGCTTCTCCGGCCCACCCCCGTCCCTCCTTCTGCTCTCTCCTCTCCGGTCCCTGCGGTTGTGGCTGCCCCGATGGCAAATCCTCTAGAAGTTACTGCAAGCAAGTCATCGGCGTGCCTGGCGTACAGGGCCCGCGCGAAGCTAGCAGGAAGAGTGGGGGGGGGGGAGGGGCTGGCAAGGGAGACGGGGAGGTGGAGAAGAGGCGCACAGGAAGGGGTGGGGAGATACTGACGAGAAACACGAATATACCCAAATCCGTATCGCTGACACCCTCATCACCGCACGAATTCGTACCATCGTCACGTTCTTCGCAACCATCTCATGGTACGTATATCCTGTTTGCCACTCTGTTCACGTATGCGTAGAAACATCGCTACCCCACCCCTTACCACAACCGTACGCACCATTCCTGTAATCGTAACGCTCACGATCTTCATCATCAACGCATCCTAATCCTCATCATCTTTGATCGTACCGTAATCTTAGAGTTGCCACCAGGCGGAATCATCTACGTAGTCGTAGCACTGCCATTGCAAAGGCACGCATCGCTACACAATTATAATCGCCAGTGCACACTGTCTGCAATCGCATAGCTGTTCGCAAAATCTGTCGTTTAGTTCTCGTATTCTCCGCTCCTGCGATCATAGTCCTCCCTCTCCATTTCGGTATCCCCTATAACTCGCATTCCCCTACCCCGAAGATTACTAATCTCCGATGTGGCATCCCCATCCACCAGCCGAATCACCATCGCTGCTGGTACAAGCGCTACTTCCGCCCACACTTCTGAACCACGCGGACGCGCTTCGCGCGCGCTTAGGTTCTGACAAGTTCTGCTTGCAGCCTGAAGTGTTCGGCATCGGAAGACACATACTGTCGTACGGGTCGTGTCCCTCACAGAGCTGCACCGACGGCCCCTGAGACAGGCTTGGCTGAGCGTGCCCTCGCCCATGTCGGCACACCCCTCACAGGGAACGTGCCCACAGGGAGCTCCACCTACGCCCCCAGAGACACGATTCGCATAGTAGTACACCCCTCGCGCGAATCGTACCCCGCAGGTGACTACATTTGCGGCACCAGAGGGAAGCTTCATAGCATCGCTCCGTTAACTTCGGCACACTCCTCACACGAATCGTGGCCCGCAAGGACTCCCACGGACGGCCCCAATACAAGGTTGGCATCCCCTCCCCCCGGCTACTTCGGCACGTCTCTCGCACGGACCGTGGCCCACGGGGATCTCCACCTGCGGCGCCCCCAGAGGCAGAGTTCGCATTGCGCCCCCCACCCCTGGCCATTGCGGCACACCCCATCACGCGGATCGTGCCCACAAGGAGCAACACCTACAGGCCCAGAGATTTGGACGCCCGACATGGGTACCGAAAAAATGGGTACGATGCCCAACAGCAAATGTTGTCCCGAGCCAACAGCGGCCGCTGTTGGGCAGGCGGCCTTCTGTCTCAAATGAACACAGGCCGCGGCGGCGTGGACAACGAATCCTGTTCAAAACGAACAGGAACTGCTGTTGGGCATCGTGCCCATTCTTTCCGTGCCCATGTCGGGCGTCCAGAAGAGACGAGCTACGTACAAAGCCACCCCGCCCCTCTCGGCACGCCCGTCACGCGAACCGTTCCGCAGAAGAAGCTCCACCTGTGGCGCCGGTGGGTAGCTTCTCGCACGGCGTCCTCCCGCCTATCTCGCAACACGCCTCTCGCACGGGTGGGGCCCAGAGCCTCCTCCTCCTCCTCCTCCTGCAGCCTAAATGGGCGTGCTCGCGCGGACGCATACGAATTATCTGGCACAACCTTCACGCTGATCGTGCCCCACGAAGGACACTTCAGCGCGCCCCATGCGCGCGTGCTCCGCTGCAGTCCCACGGCGCGCAGTATATGAAGGCTCTGGGCAATCTGGGCGCCTCTTGGACAGTGTTGGAGCTCTCTAGGGCCGTCCTGAGGCCTTCTTTGGCCGTATTGGGGCGATCTTGGGGGCCTTTTGGGCCGTCTTGGATGCTGTTAAGACCCTCAAAGCGAATATGCTGAAAATACGAGGTTCCCTTAAGGCATAAATGTTGCTTTTTTGGCCTCCTGGGGCCCTCTCGGGAGCATCTTGCAGGCTTCTCGGGGCGTCTTGGGTGCCGCCTGGGCCGTCTTGAGGCAACCTTGGGGCGTCGTCGACATTGTTGGGCTGCTCTGGTCGCTCAGAGGCCGTGGAGGGGTCAAACATGTAGTGGGCCAAAGATGTGGAGGGAAATTCGGGATGTTCCGGCCCAATACCCCAACATGTTATATACAACCTAACGGCTACCACCGTCCTTACCATCTTCCGTCGTCATTGCCCTGGGAATCACCACAACCGTTGCCCTGTCATTGGCATGATGGTGCTCCGTCCTGTCCTCCTTCTTCGTCCATGTCCTACGTCTCATCTTCCCTGAAAAGAGCAATTTCTTGACTATCCTTCTGATGATTATCATTCCCCGTCCTCTTCTCCTCAAATTTCCCTTTCCTCCTCTTCATATGTCTCTTCTCCACCACTTACCCCCCCTCCCTTCCCGTGGCAATTTTCATGGTACGCCCCCTTTCTCCTTCGACTGCGCCGCTTCCCTTTCCTTAAATGTTTGGTATACGTAACATTATCATCCGATAGATGTTTTACCGAACGGCGCATCTACCATTAGAGCAGGTAGAATTATGACACCTCTACTCACCTCATCACTCCACGTCAATACCCCACAATGAGATCGCTGCTTATTCTCATCCAGACCATGTGCTTCATCACTCTCCTCATCCAATCTAATCAACCTCCTGAATCTCCTGACCCGTGTCCTTGCCCCTGACGTTGATGGCTTTGCCCTTGTGGGTACTGAAACGTCACTGTCATGGCCCCTCCCGATTCCTCGTCCTTCGACTTCTCCGTCTCCGTGCCCTTCTTCCCCTCCTCGTCCTCCTCCTCCTCCTCCTCCTCTTCCACATCCTCACGATTCTCCTCTCCTTCGTCTTCCAGGAAGAAGATAGGGGAGGCGAGGGAACGACGGCGGAGGAGGAGGGGGAAGGCGGAGGTCCTCCTCCTCCTGCCCCTGCTCCTGCATTTGTCCCTGCCCCTGCTCCGCTTTCACCATTCCTGCTCGACCTCTTCATCGTTCTCCGCCCCGTGCGTGTCCTTCTCTTTATCCTTCCCTCC